TGATCAGAGTTGCCTGTGTGTACATGGTGGGAGTTACTGACTGGAGCATGGGCCACTTACCAGTGGCTACACTGAAGAGGAAAATGGCCTTCCTTCCCCAGAATGTTAACTGAAAAAAACTGACCTGTGCAGTCAGCTCCACCTTAGTCTAATATTTTTCCAAACACAAATCATTAATAGTCTCTCCTTTGGCCATTAGGTGGTTATATGCAAAGTTAACTAGCATGACCCCTGTTCTATTTAGTTTCTGGGATTTCTAGCTGACCCAGCAGTGGTAGATCTATTCTGGGATCCAGTGCTGTGCAATTAGACTCCCAGCTCAGTGACACCTGTTACCACTTCCATCCCCTGCCTTCTGGGGAAACAGGTTATACATCTCTCCTTTGAAGAGACAACCGTGTGTGTTTAACATCCCTGGTTTCCCTAGTGTTATTGGTGAGCACAAGGACCTCTGCCCCCAACAAAACACTGATTCTACCACGAACACACCGCACAAACACACATTGTAGTGTTTGCCTGAATACCCGTGACCCATCTAGTCAGCGCCACAGGACCTACATGAGCACCCTGAGTGGCCTGGTTAGCAGTGGAGGGACATTTCATTGAAGGGTCCTGCCTGAGTCTGCTTCCCCAATGTTCTACCCACAGCCGTTAGGTTTTGCACTTTGTTGCTGTGAGTAGAAGGATAGGCATGAGCCCAGAAGTTCAGGTGTCGCTTGGTTTGGGACAAAACAAAGATCCTTTTAATGTGGAGGGAAAAAAATTAGGAGGGAACTAGCATACCGTGGCTTTGGAGGCTGTCCTGGAACTAGCTCTTGTAGACCAGGCTGGTCTCGAACTCACAGAGATCCACCTGCCTCTGTCTCCCGAGTGCTGGGATTAAAGGCGTGCGCCACCAACGCCCAGCTAAGAATTATATTCTTAAATGAGAATTATAGTGATGGGGGAAAGTTCAAGCTACTCAAATCAGGTGAAGATAGGGACCGCTCACAAAAAGGAAAACCAGTGACCCATAAACACACAAAAACAATTCAATTTTATAAGCAATAAAAAAATACATGTCAGAGCAACTTATAATTGGGAACACTGTAGTAAGAGTAAATAAAAAATTAGTAAATGACACCCATTGCTAGTGAGGTTTTGCTGGTGGATAAGATGATTGACACTGGGTTTCAAAGGCCATTCATCAAGAGACTCTGCTTCCAATAGGGCATTGTAAGGAAATTATCACAAAAGATCAGAAGATTTCTCATAAGAATGTTCCTTCATAGCTTGTGGGTGAAGCTGGGCTCTTCTGCATGCCAGGCAAGCCCTCTATGACCCAGCTACACCCCACCCTGAACCTCACACATTCCATTTTCAGTAGTGGATATTCTAAATATATATAGAACGATAGGTAAGTCCTGGAGTTGTCATTATGGGAGCCTTCTTAATTATATTAAGAGACTAGTCACATACTTTAAAGACACTCTTACAGAGGACCCAAGTTCAGTTCCCTGCATCCACACTCAGCAACCCACAACTGCTTGTCACTCCAGTTCCAGAGGATCTGGTGTCCTCCTTGCCTCTGTGGACACACACACACACACACACACACACACACACTTAACAATAAAACGAACCTTTTTAAAAGCAGATTATAATACAATATTCATCTATCACCTCCACTTCAACATGTGTGTTTGTATATCCTTAATTAATTCTGGAAAGACATTATAAAATGTCTTTTTTTCTGGCTGGTGGGATTAAAGGTGATTTATAATCTTTCTATCCTATGCTGTTATTCTCCAATAAACATTTTTTTTTTTTTTTTTACAAATTGGGGAGAGTGTTGCCCCTGATCCTTTTTGGTGCTAGGGATGGAAGCAGGGCCTTGTGTTAAACCCACCCTTCCTATGAGCTACACCCTCTGTGCTATGTGTCTTTTGAAAGCTCCAGTTTGTACAGGTGAGAACAGAACTTCTTTTCTGGCCTGACAGTCATGCTCACACCACAAGAATTGCATGCAAGCCAGTGCTCCTGCCAACAGATGGGAAAAAGCAGAGCCAGAATTCAGGGGAGACATGATGTTCTCAAAAAAACAGGAAGGGAAGAAGCTCTGGAGTTGACTGTGCCTCAGGCTGGAGCTGGGCAGGAGTCCAGGTTCTCCCGGCCCCTCTTTTGAAGAGGAGCTTCGCCAGACCCTGCAGATCTCTGACCAGAACAGTTAAAACTCAGGCTTGTGGCTTCCAGATGCAGGGGCCAGAAGGCAGGGCCCAGGGACAGACCACCAGAGCTTATGGCTAGGGAGCTGAAATCTAGTGTGGTGTCTAGTTTGTAAAACAAAACATAACACCCACAGACCCAGTTTCTTCTTTCTTTCTTTCCTTCCTTCCTTCCCTCCTTCCTTCCTTCTTTCTTTTCTTTTTGGTTTTCCAAGACAGGGTTTCTCTGTAGCTTTGGAGCCTATCCTGGAACTCACTCCCTGTCTCTGCCTCTCGAGTGCTGGGATTAAGCCACCAACACC